ACATTTAATGCATTCGTCTTAAGTAGACCAAGTGATCTGTCTGAAAGACTACATGTCATTATAATCAATCATGACATAATCCTAGAATGGCTAACCAAGGAAGACACTAAAGATATTTTTTTGGATTGTTTTTGAAGACATTGAAGACATTGGAGGGTTAGGAAAGGAGGTTCAACCATTTATTTAGTACGAAGAAATGGAGCCAACTTATAGAATAGCTTTTGGGCACTATGGTGCTTATAATAATCTTTAGTTGAGTTTATGTTTTAGTCAACTCAATAGAATTTATTTTTGTCAAGAAAATAGAGATGAAATTAGATATAGAAAAATTAGTCACTAAATTTTAGCTTAGCGACTAGATCATAGCTAAGTGAGAATTTCTCTTTATAACTATTTTAGCCAAACAACCAACTCTCATTACTGAGCGAGCTTAACTCTTTATTTCATTAAATTATAATCACTACAAGAAAAACTGTTATTATCTATGAAATATTACTTATGAAATTTTTTCTGTAGATAATTTTTAGTTATTTATAGAATATTATCTACGAAATTTTTTCTGTAGATAATGTTTAGTTATCTATGGAATATTACTTACAATTTTTTTTATGAACAATGTTTAGTTATCTACGAAATATTACTTACGAATTTTTTTCTATAGATAATTTTTAGTTATCTACGAAAATTTTCAGTAAATAACATATGGTAAGTGGGTAATGAAAAAATTCAGATTACCTACGGATTATCCATAGATAACCTTAGCGGGATACATGGCAAAAAAATTTATGCTCTAAGTGATGTAAAGAATATTTGGTAAAAAATAAATATTATTAAAAATTGTCATTTTAAATTTTTTATTTTTATAAATTAATGATAATAAAAAATAACATAGTAATTTTTTTTATAATAATATCAAAATATTTAATAACATTTAATTTAAAAATAAGTAGAATATTTGGTAAAAAAATAAATATTATTAAAAATTGTCATTTTTAATTTTTAATTTTTATAAATTAATGATAATAAAAAATAACATAGTAATTTTTTTATAATAATATCAAAATATTTAATAACATTTAATTTAAAAATAAGTACAATATTTAAAATAAATGAAAATAATAATAAGTACAATATTTTAATTTTGTATAACTAATATCTAGTTTTAAATTTGATATGAAAATATTATGATATAATTAGATAAGATTTTAAATTATTATTTTATTAATGGTTGATAACTAGAAAATAAAACAATAATAAATACATTTTTTAAATTTTATATCTTAGATTTAAGATGAATAAATATATTAAGTTAATTAATAATTTATTTAAAATGT